TACATCTGTCATTACCCTCAAGGATAGTAATACATCTGTCACTACCCTCAAGGTTAGTAATACATCTGTCATTACCCTCAAGGTCAGTAATACATCTGTCACTGTTCTCAAAGTTAGTAATATATCTGTCATTACCCTCAAGGATAGTAATACATCTGTCACTACCCTCAAGGTTAGTAATACATCTGTCACTACCCTCAAGGTTAGTAATACATCTGTCATTACCCTCAAGGTTAGTAATACATCTGTCACTACCCTCAAGGTTAGTAATACATCTGTCACTACCCTCAAGGTTAGTAATACATCTGTCATTACCCTCAAGGTTAGTAATACATCTGTCACTACCCTCAAGGTTAGTAATACATCTGTCATTACCCTCAAGGTTAGTAATACATCTGTCACTGTCCTCAAGGTTAGTAATACATCTGTCACTGCTCTCAAGGCTACTAAAGAAAATCTTCAATTTTTTAGTTCTTTCAGTCACTTTCCTGAAAGTTTATAGTGGAATACTTCTCATTTTTAGTTCTTTCAGTCACTTTCCTGAAGGTTTATAGTGGAAGACTTCTCTTTTATAATTTTTTCTGTCACTATCCTCAAGGTTAGTAGTGAAAAAATTCTATTCTCTTGTTCTTTCTGTCACTGTCTTCAAGGTTATTGGTGGAAAACTTCTATTTTGCAATTCTTTCTGTCACTGTTCTTAAAGTTAGTAATGAAAATTTTATATTTTGTAATCATTTCTGTCACTGTCATCAAAGGTTAGCTGTGAAAAATTACTATTTTATAATTATTTTTGTCAGTGTCCTCAAAGTTAGTAGTGGAAACTTTTATAGTTCTTTAGAACAATTCCTCAAAGTTAGTTGTGGAAAACTTTTATAGTTCTTTATAACAATTCCTCAAGGTTAGTAGTGGAACACTTTTATAGTTCTTTGTAACAATTCCTCAAGGTTAGTAGTGGAAGACTTTTATAGTTCTTTGTAACAATTCCTCAAGGTTAGTAGTGGAAAACTTTTATAGTTCTTTATAACAATTCCTCAAGGTTAGTAGTGGAAAACGTTTATAGTTCTTTATAACAATTCCTCAAAGTTAGTAGTGGAAAACTTCTGTTTTATTGTTCTCTCTGTTACTACCCTTAAGGTTTTTATTAAACTTCTAAATTGTTTTTGTTTTTTATGTTGCACTGATTTCTGGCATTTGTCCCAAGGTTAATGCCATAAAATATGCACATTGTACTGTTTTTTGTCATTGTTCATAAGGTTACCAGTGCAAAAATTATGTTACAACTTTGTTTTGGATATCTCTTTCTATTATTGAAAGTAGCTAATAAATTTCATGATATATTAAAAGAAACAAATATATTTTTTGAATTTTCTGTTGAGACTTACATATAAAAAGGCATATCTGTTAAGCATGTTTATTGTTTTGCTTTTCTAAGTAAACAATTCATTGATTGTACAGGTAAGCAAAGTTTAGAAATTAGCTTTATTGCTAATACACAGTGAGACAGAGGATGTAAGTACTTGTATTACAAAGTGAAGAAGGGCCTTTTAAAATAAATGTCTTTTCACACTGTTATAACATATATTGTATTATTGAACTATTAGTTTCTGTATTGTTTGTTTAGGATTGTTTTAATATAAGTTGATTATTTAAAACTGCAGGTTATGGGGGTCCTCGTTGTGAGTTGGACATAGATGAATGCCAGTCTAATCCCTGTCAACATGGTGGCAGCTGCCACGATGCTTTGGCTAGTTACTCATGCACTTGCCTGTTAGGATATACAGGACAAAACTGTGAACTCAACATTGACGATTGTGCCTCCAGTCCCTGCTTGAATGGGGGCTCCTGTATTGACCTAGTAAATGCATACAAGTGTGTCTGCGAGGTTCCCTATAGTGGTCATAAATGTGAAATGGAGTTAGATCCGTGTAACCCAAATAAGTGCAAAAATGGAGCTCAGTGTACTCCTTCTTCAAACTACTTAGATTTTGCATGCACTTGTGAACTTGGCTATACAGGTAGGTCGTAGTTTTCTGAGTTAATTACTAGAAACTAGTGATATATATAGTATTTTAAAATCTGATGAAATTGATTATAATTCTTTTAATATTTATACTAAACTTAGCTCTTATATAAATTGGTAGGTGATATGTTATATTTCAGATATACTGATAGAATCTTATCTGACTATATCTAGGCAGACTGTGTAACGAAGATATCAATGAGTGCACTGTTTCCTCTCCTTGTCGTAATGGAGCCACATGTGTTAACACCAATGGTTCCTACACCTGTACATGTGCTAAAGGTTATGAAGGAAGAGACTGCTTAACAAATACAGATGACTGCGCATCTTGTAAGTTCTGCTTTACTCTAATGCATTGTCTTAATTAATACTGTATATCTACATATGTTTTGCAGTTGTCATTCAGAAATATGACTTCATTGGTGGATTTAGTGGGAAGTCCAATAAGTCTGGACCCCCTTTAATTCCTTTAAAAATCTATGAAAATGTAGGCAAGGGGAGTGTCAAAGACTAGCTCACAATGAGTCCCTGTGAGACACTGGCATTATTGATATATGTGTAAAATATTATGCTTTGCTCTCTCCTGCATTCTCAGGAATAAAGTCACAATTAAAGTTAACAATTTTTGGACCCTTCAGTGAAAGTAGTGTTATTTTTTTACTGCAGTATTTGGATTGTGGAATAGTCTTGCTTTCAGAAATGGTAGAAGCTGGAACATTAAAGGAGTTTAAAATGAAGTAGTTGAGACTAGAGTGATGGGAAAAAATTATATAACCTAGATGGGCCAGATGTTATCCCTTGGAAATGAAATTCAGTATTTTTATTTTTACCTGTCTTGATTATAAATCTTTATTTCACTTATTTTAGGTTTTGCATCTTTCTTTTAGTTCCTTGTCAGAATGGAGGGACGTGTCTAGATGGTATTGGAGAATACAACTGTCTCTGTATCGATGGTTTTGGAGGGAAACACTGTGAAAGTGACATTGATGAATGTGCCAGCAGCCCTTGCCAGAATGGAGCCACTTGTAATGATTATGTGAACAGTTACACTTGCACTTGTGCACTTGGATTTAGTGGGACAAACTGTCAGACTAATGATCAAGATTGTACTACAAGGTATGGGAACTTGTTTAGAGAACTTGATACGACTTTCCACGGGGAGCTCATAAATGTATGTAATTAGATGTACTGAATATGTATTGTTTTAATGACTTATAATGACTAAGTTATGTTATTAATGCTAAATAAAAGACCGTATCTCTAAACCAAGCAAATTATTTACATTCTGTCTATATACAAGATCTACTTTATTTACTTGCTTTGCTTTTCCAAGCAGCACTGATGAGCTCTAAATTGAGTAAAACTAGTATGTTGCATTGGAAGTAGCAAATCAAAAATTAATTAGGCCTCTACATCGTATTTTCTTTATTGAAATTCACATTTTGGTGGATAAAATAATTTAACAAATAAATAAATTCAGAACTTGTTGACCACAGAAGCAGACTTCAGTCTTTACTGAGGTATGTATTTAACAGAACTTGGCAATGATATAGGTATTTATGTATGTCACTTGCATTTTAACATTTTTTTTCTGTGCATATGCAGAAATTGAGTACATCATATGGAAATGATTTTGAAGCCTCACCACATCATTATAGTTCATGTGGCCACATCTTGTTGTGTTCTATTTATCAACTGTACATCTTTACACTAGCCCTGCAGTATAGTTTCCATTGAAAAGGCTCATCTTAAGGCTGTCAAGTTTATAGCCTAATCCTCTTCCCTGCACACTTTCCATAATCCATCTAGCATACAAGGATGACAGTTTCACAGTGACCATTTCAATAGTCCAATCATGCAGACGTCTATAGTCAACTTGACTATATCTTTATATGTAATAGCATGAATACCCATTGATTGAATGGATATGTCATGTAAGCAACCTGTGTACACATGACTTATGAAGCTTTCTAGATGGAGATCCTTCTTAGTTACATTGCATACTGTTTGCTGAGGCATGTGGACAGCTTTTGCCACTGATCTTTGTGTTCTTGGATTTTCATCAATTACAAGATGCCACACTTCCACTTTCTATGGCTGGTGTATGACTTGTTACAGGTTTCTTTCTGGATGATCCTGGTATCCCAAGTTTACCCATATTGTTTTCTATTGCCATTAAATACAAGGATAACCCCATCTTGGAAATTTTCTTCCCAAAAGCAACCAATTTTGGGTGGCGTTATATTACCCATGAAATAGCAAACAGTGTCAAAATGTAGTCATGATAGATGATGTTCTACTGTGACTTTATACCGATTGTGATTGTCATGTGAAATATAAATTTGCATATTCAAAATTGTTTTGATAAAAAAACACTTAGCTCTCTGTTTACGGGTCAGTTCTGTGTTTAAACAATGAAAGCAAGAAAGTTAATATGTAGTTGTTTTAGACAAGAAATTGAAATGAAAATTTTTTATCTTTTAAGTAATATACAGATCAAATTTAACTGGAAACAAGTTATTATAAATTGTCCTTTTTATGTGTGTTTGTATGTCTACTTTTTTTGTAAAAATATTTTTAAATGCCCCCTTAAAATGTGGTTTCTAAATATAGCTTAAAATGTCACATTTGGTATATAATTTCATTCCAAAAAATAGTCTGAAGCTAGTTATGGTTCACACCTAAAATTAGCTTTCAGATGTTAGAATTATTACTATATTGAGAAGGGTAACAGAGTGTTAACTTCATACTGTACAAAGAATCAGCAGGGTAACAGAGTTCTAAGTTAGTTCTGTACTGAGAATGGTAACAGATTTTAAATTATTACTTTACTGAGAATGAGAAGGGTAACATGGTTTTTAGATTGTTACTGTACTGAGAATGAGAAGGGTAACATGGTTTTAGATTGTTATTGTACCAGGACTGAGAAGGGTAACATAGCTTTAGATTGTTATTGTACTGAGTAGAACTTGGTAATTAGCTTGATTAATTATTATAATCGGTTACATCAATTAATGTCACATAAAATAATCATATAATTGAAATTATGATTAAATTTATTAATGTCATGAAAATAACTAATCAAAATTAGTGTTTCTGATCATTACTGCTTACAGTTATTCCAACTATCCAAACAATAGAAATATTGCCATTTTGATTTATTATTATTTTTGATTAATTCAAGGTTGTTTAGCTTAATCAGTTAGTGTCACAACTCAAGAAAACAATCGGTTAATCAAAATTAGTGTTTTCTATTATTACTGTTTCCATTTATTCCAACTATTCAAGTTCTAGTACTGAAAAGAGTAGCAGAATTTAAAGTTATTACCATAATGAGAATGAGAACATATTTTTAGATTGATAATATAATGAGAAGGGTATCATAGTTTAAAATTATTACTATAATGAGAAAGGTGACAAAGTTTTATATTGTTAATGTACTGAAAAGGGTAACATAGTTTATATTGTTAATGTACTGAGAAGAGTAACATAGTGTTAATTTGTCACTATAGTGAGAAGGGTAACATAGTTTTATATTGTTAATGTACTGAGAAGGGTAACATAGTTTAAAATTATTACTATACTGAGAAAGGTGACATAGTTTTATATTGTTAATGTACTGAGAAGGGTAACATAGTGTTAATTTGTCACTATACTGAGAAGGGTAACATAGTTTTAGATTAACATTAATCGTAATTGGCTAAATGTTTATAGACTATAGATACTAAATATGATATAACTAAATGGAGGTTAACCTGTAAATAATATGCTCATAATCAGATTTTCAATTGAAAATTCATAGTACAAAAATATCCAGTGTGATTTTACATTGCCATAAAATCTTTTACCGAATAATTAAAAATTAAATAATGGATATAATGAGACATTATGTGACATGTAAGTTTGAATACAAATATTATGGCTCCAGCTAAACTGTCAAAATATTCTTTATTTTCAGTTCTTGCATGAATGGGGGAACTTGTATAGATGGAATCAATACCTATACCTGCCATTGTGCAGCTGGATACACAGGATCAAACTGCCAGTTCCACATTAATGAATGTGATTCCAGCCCATGTAAGAATGGGGCAACCTGTGTTGACCATGTAGGATATTACACATGTCACTGTCCATTTGGTTATATAGGATTGCAGTGTGAGGTAAAACAAACTTGAACTTGTTTTCTCTCAATTTTCTAATAAATTAGAATTGAAATTGTCTTTGCTTTTCCAATAATTTTTTTTCTCCAAAGAGCAAATTGAAGTATGAAATATGGAACTGGTTACTTTTAAACAAATCGTTAATTTCAAGTAAATAAAAAAATACAGTTTTGTAAAAATGAAAACTAGAATGAGAGACATGAGTCAGATCAATGTTGAACTAAGACCGCTTCACAATATTAAAAATTTTCGCATAATAAAATTTTAAGAAAAAGGGGAGATAAACCCTCTAGACATTCTCTATATTATTTATTACCTCCGTCACTGAAAGTGGATGGAGATTATGTTTTCACCTCTACATGTGTGGGTGTTTTTCAGCAAGATTTCTCAAAAATGGCTGAATGGATTTAGATGAAAGTTGGTATACATTTTCTACTATAACTCAACTTAGAAGTGATTAGTTTTTGGAAGGTGGTCAAGGGCAAAGGTTAAAGTCACAGCAAGGTCACGAAAATCCAGAAAAATCCCTATCCGTTAACATTGGGACTGATTTTTCACACTATTTGTGCTCTATAACTCAGACAAAAATGATTGGATTTCGATGAAACTTGGTGGACTTATGTAGAATATTATTCTTCATTGTCCTGCCAAAAATTGTCCATGTCCATTGATAACGATGGATATGTAGACACATTCGTATTTTTTGAGAGCTGAATATGATTAATGCTGCTTAGCAGAGGTATGCGCTCTACTGAGTGCCTCTCTAGTATTCTATATGTTTTAGTAAAACTTGTTGAAGATTTCCAGAAAGCTGAGACCTATTTTTAAGAGTCTTATTGTGCACAAATTTTTAATGTTGTGGTATAATTTTTAGTTCAATTAACTTATGCACAAGTGCCACTTATTTGTAGTTGAGATCAACATTTTGCATTCAGTGGACATTAATAATGTAACTAGATATGTGTATCGGTATTGTATATTTTATTCACTTTGTGTACATTTTAAATCTTGGGAAATGAAATTCAAAGTGTCTTTCAGGGACATTTCTAAATATATATTACACTTATCAAATGTTTTGTAGTAATATTCTCCACACAGTTCTTGCCTGTTCAAAACAAATGATGTATCTTTTTGTTTTGCATTTCAGGATGTTGTTGACTGGTGTAGTACAATGCCATGTATGAATGGGGCTACATGTAAGCAGAACAAAAACACGTATCAGTGTATGTGTCGGCCTGGGTGGACAGGAATTCTCTGTGATGTGTCGATGGTATCATGCTCAGATGCTGCTCTTCAAAAAAGTATGCCAGTTGTTGCTTTTGATTACTCAATTTTTGAACTTTTTGGATATCTGCACTGAGTCTTGTTTGTTTACTTTACTGACTACAAACATTATCTTAAGATACCGTTCATTGTTTCATAGTTGCACTGAGTCCTGTTTGTTTACTTTAATGAATACATTACAATATCATAAAATTGTTAATTGTTTCATATCTGCACTGAATCCTTGTTGTTTACATTACTGAATATCATAAAATATCTTAGTGCATTGCTGAATTTAGAAAATTGTCATATGTTACTTCCTCTAAGTTCAAAATATTCTCTAATGTCATTGAATTCAGAAAATTGTACTTAAGATTATCGAACCTGAAAGGTTTTTCATGCAGTAGTGAACCTGGGAAATTGTGTATATGTTTCTGAACCAAGAGCACTGTCTTTACTGAATTAAGCACAATTTTCTGTACATTGTCTGCATCATTAAGTGATGAAAACCTTCACTAAAACAGATATGAAAGAAGTTCAAGTACCACCAATCAATCGTATCTTACATCAACACATCCTGACCAAACTCTTTATAAAGCAATCAAAACCAATTCTTATTCTGACCTGAAGATGGAAAGCTTCCAAAACATAATATCTTTAGTTTTTATGTCTATTAAAACTCTTTTTCAATCCATGTAAACCATTTGACTATTTATGTTAATTTCCGGTTTAAAATTGTTGGAAATGATTTTGAGATATTTTGCTATAGATTTAGTAAAATAGACAAATAATAGTGAACTATAGTTTAGAGGTGTGAATACTGTTTCTTTATGTTGGTTTAGAAACATTACAATTACCTGTTAGTGTGTATGTGTGTGTTGTTGTAGCAAGGCCACATTGAGCTATCTGCTGTGTCAATCGAGTGGAATCAATTGCCTGAGTTTTACATTGTAAATCTGTAGATTTATTGCTGTCCCACGGGGAGACATAGCTGTTAGAGAGTGCTGTTATCAAGCAGCTTAATTTGAATACCTTTTTCTTGTGCACTGTAGGAATTGAAGTCAGAAACTTGTGTCACAATGGTGGCACCTGTGAAAACATTGGGAATAGCCATCGCTGTCATTGTCTGAAAGGATACGAAGGAAGCTATTGTCAACATGAAATTAATGAATGTGTGTCACAACCATGCCAAAATGGTGCAACATGTCATGACTTGATTGGGCAGTATAGATGTGATTGTCTTCCTGGTTTTCAGGGTAAGTTTTTATTAAGTAGAAACAAAAATGCCTCCATTAAGTCATATACTTCCTTTCAGTACATGTATATATATTTCTTGTTTTCTGAAGAAAAAAAAACAACATAATTTATCAAAACTTATTTAAGGTTTAAAACACACACTTAGGTTCATTATAAATACTTTTATTTCCTAAACACACACACACCTAGGCTCATTGTAAAAATGTCTTGGTTCATTATATAAATACACACTTAGGTTCAATATAAATACTGTTCATTATTTTAAACTGTAAAAAAAATAAACTCCAACATTTTAAAAAACATACAAAAGCAAAAGTAGTTAATCTGAACCTAAAGGTGTACTCAGTAAAGAAGGTAGTTACACTGAACATAGATATATACGTGTTTATGAAATAAATGTATTTATATTGAACCTAGGTGTGTATTTATATACTGAACCAAGACATGTTTACAATGAGCCTAAGTGTGTGTGTGTGTTTAGAAAACAAAAGTATTTATAATGAACCTAAGAATGTGTTTTAAACCTCAAATAAGTTTGGATAAATTAAGTTGTTTTCTTTTTCTTCAGAAAACAAGAAAGTTATTACTAAATTGTAAGCATTTTTTAAATGGAAAACAAAAGGATTTATATTTATTTTTCAGGTTTAAATTGTGAGTTCAATATCAACGATTGTGACCCGAATCCCTGTCGTAATGGAGGAACTTGCCATGACCAAGTCAATAGTTTTATGTGTTCCTGCCCTCATGGAACTGTGGGTATTCTATGTGAGATCAACGTGAATGAGTGTTTTGAGGGAGCTTGTCATCATGGAGGATCTTGTATTGATAAAGTTGGAGGCTATGAATGTGAGTGCCCTCCAGGATTTGTAGGACCAAGGTATGAAATATTTCACAATCTCACAATGTGATAGTAAAACAGGACAGTATGTTTTCCTATCAATCTGATTAATAAATGTCAAATATTTAAAGAAAATGATATAGCTGTAAGGAGTAATGTTCATGTTCTTTTTTCATTACTTACCACCAAGGGTGCATGCAGAAAACAAATTAGGGGGGACAATACCCTTGTAATTACAAATACCTTATGATTTTCCAATAACATAGAAGAAGAATTTTACATATCTAGTAATTTTTTTCTTTTCTTCTTAGCTGAAAATGACTCCTACCTTGCCAAATTTTATGTTTGTGTCCCCTAGTCCTACTATTCTCATCGTCAACTATGAAAAAAAGATGATACATCAACACTATCAATTCTCTTTACAATCTTAAAAACCTTAATCAGATCCCCCCCCCAACTCTTCTTTTTTCAAGAGAAAACAATTTGAGAG